TGGGCTGTACCCAATTTCTCCCAAACAGAATCGGTTCTGATCAAGTTTATGTCTTCAAATTTGGTTTGGTAGTCCTTGACTTCTAACAGTTCATTTAGTGACCGTTCAAAGTTACAATGGCACTGAAAAAAGGGACTTATGATCATTTTTCACACTTACGACAGTTGCAACATCCCCATGGTTCCGTGATCAAAATTCAGATGCTTGGCAACTGACTCATAGTTATTTTTTTTAAACAAATTTTATTAATTTTTAAAAACAATACACAAACAAAACGTAGAATATAATAACATAAGACATCTTTTCTGAAAAAACAAATAAAACATCTTATTTAAAGACAGGATAATTCCAAATTATCACATTTCCATACAAGCACAATTTAATATGTATATTTATCTTATCTGTTCAACTTCATATCTTTTCCCAACTTCTCTTTATTTCTCCCTTTCCTTCTGTTCAGTTATATTTCTTTTGCCTTGGATTGTATATATTCATTGTATCCATCTGTCTTATTTACAATTTCGTTATTCTCTTCCAACATTCTTCTAGCATTTTATTAATTCAAACACAGACAAACAAAACACAAAACATAAATACATAAAACTTCTTTTTGGAAAGCGGCTTACCCCGGGTTACATCTTTTTGTACAGACATAAATCAAATTCATACTCACTTAATATACTTTTTCATATCTTATTTAACATTCTATATTTTCTATATATTTTCTCTCTTCTATTCACTTTCTTAATTCTATTTTATTTGTTTCATCTCAGTTTAGATAATTATACTTCCATCTTTTGTCCGTTCTCTTTCAATTATCTATTTATCTTTTCTTTCTAATACAATATTTCTCCTGTAATCACTGGTTGAAGTATGACAACTTTTTATCTTTCCCCTAAATTTAACTCTTAAAATAATACATACTTTCCATACTGATTCTGCTTAGTACATTCTAAGTACTACATTTTAGAATAATAAAACAAAAAAAGAGAATTAAGTTTATAATATAGTAAAAACAATATTCCATAGGAAGTTAAACTCTATTGTTAAATCTTAAACATTTTTATACATTCCCTTTAATGCATTATTAACTCATATAATATTTCAGTTTTCTAACTCGATTTCAAATACTAATATCTACAATACAGTCTTATGGACTTTTGCAGAATCAATTTTTAAAATTATATTTTACCCTTTGTCTCTGAAAAAAACCTGTTTTTTAACATCTTGTTTTAAACCTTTATGACTTCTCTTTCTTTTTTCCCTTCCTTTCTTATCAATTCTAGCCTTTTTGCCCCCCCATCTCTCAAACTCCACTCTCTTAATCTTCCCTCTCTGTTGTATTTCTCTTTTCTGTTGCTTTCTGACATTGTATCGATTTTTCATCTTATTTTTCCCTTTCTTGGTTGCTTTTTTAAGTTCTGAATTCTCCATTTTCTTTCCCCCCTTTCTCTTTTCTTCCTCAACTAAGATTATTTGTCCATTAAAGATGGCTTCTTCTTCTTCATCCCAGCCTTCTTGTTGTATTTCTTGGTAGGTAGAAATCGCCATTTCTAAAAAGTGAAAAATAGATCCAGAAGAGCCCTTGCCTTCTTGTTCCTCTTCTTTTAGCTTTTGAAACTCCATTTGCAATTCTTCAACAGATAATGCCATTTTTTTTTAAGAACAACCCAAATGTTTTTAATCTTTCAAGAAATAGTTCCCAAAAATCCCAAAGTCACAAAGCAATCCAAATCAGAACGAACTGTTTCATTTAGCACTTTCTTCTTTTTATATTTTCTCTTCCTGGGGTAGAATTCAATTACACAGTTCCAAAGTAATTTTTTAGAAGTCTTATTGCTGTTTATTTCTAGTCTTATAAACTCCAAGCAGTCTCCTTCAGTACAATCTTAAAATAAGTTATTTATCTCTTCCCTCCCACTTATAGCAAAAAATTTGTAGTTTTTAATTCCAATGTTCAGAAATCTTTTATCCCCTTGGCTTTAAATTTCAAGTTTAGTTACCTTCTGTGCCCAAGCAGGTTTTTCAGATTTCCATCTGCTATTTCTGTGGGGAGGGAGAGTGAGAGAAAATAACTTTCCCTTTCAATTTTCTTCCGCTGCTTTTACAGTCTTCTTGGGAGACAATGTATCATTCAAGCAATTAAATTTCCAGGGTGTTTAAAGGTTCCTTGTTGTCCCGGTTCAGCCAAAAACTTTCACTTTCTCCGACTTCCTCCTGCACAATCTTACCCGGCTGCAGGCTTCTTTGTGGCAGCCATTGCTGACCGCCGCTCCACCGCCTTGGGAAAAAGGAGTTTAGCCGGCTGAGGAGGGGGTTTGCGATACTCCCAAGCCCCTACCCGGATCTCCTCTATCTTCGGTTGCCTTTACGGGGCAACCATATCCTCCAGATCCAGCTGGATTGGAGGCACTTCGGCGGCGAGCGCAGCAGGAACCGCGCACGACCGTGGATTCCTGCCGCCGCCAAAGCCTTGCAAACCAGAAGCCACAACTGACTCATAGTTATGACGGTTGCAGTATCCTGGGGTCATGCAATCCCCTTTTGCGACTTTCTGACAAGCAAAGTCAATGGGGGGAAACCAGATTCGCTTAACAACCATGTTACTCACTTAACTGCTGTGATTTCACTTATCAACTGCAGCAAGAAAGGTGGTAAAACCGGGCAAAAATTCACTCGATAAATGTCTCGCTCAGCAACAGAAATTTCGGGCTCCGTTCTGGTTGTAAGGCAAGGACTACCTGTATAGGACGAGGTGATGAAATATTAGCAGAAATAAACAAACAAAGCAGAAACTTTGGAGTGTGCCCATTCCTGGTTGGCAGAGAAACCTGGTAGATCTGGGTCAAGGCCATATAAAAATAAGAGTAATTCTCAGATCAGTAAACCTGGAATAAAGTGATTGGTGTTTTACTAAAGAGGCCAATTAAGCAAGCTCCTCACTGCAAATTGAATGGAGATTAAAAGGAGATGTTTGTTTGGTGATGGTTCTGCCTTGAGGACTGAGAATTGCACAGCTATCACTCCACCTTCTCCAAACATAAGGGTCAGTTGGTGGGATACTTAATCTGGCCCATGGGGCTGCCCTGGAAACAGCAAAGGACTGGCCTTCCCAAGCTCTGTTTTTGCTGGCAGAGGGTTGCAGGAGCCAGCACAGCTGAAAACGGAGCTTGGGAGCCCCTTTTCACTGGCAGAGTGCTCAGGCCACCACAGGCACCCTCGATGTGAGTGATGACAAGGTGGCCACACCCACCCTGGCCACACACCCCCAGGTCAAACACAACCCTGATGCGGCCCTCAATGAAATCAAGTTTGATACCCCTGTCCTAATGGGTCAAGAGATGGGAGGCCCTGCTTGATAAGCTTCAGGGTAGCTTTCCCAATGAAAGTGCAGAGTAGATCAACTAAGATGATTAAGGGCCTGGAGACTTAAACATGTGAAGAAATGGTGGCAGAAATTGGGTATGGCCAGTCTAGAAAAAAGAAGGACTTGGGGGGGACATGATAGCAGTATTTAAGTATTTGAGGGGCTGCCCCAAAGAAGAAGGGGTCCACTTATTTTCCAAAGCACCAGAAGGCAAGATCAGAAACAACAGATGGAAACTCATCAAGGAGAGAGGCAACCTGGAGAAACCTCCTAGCAGTGAGAACAATTCACCAGTGGAACGGCTTGCCACTAGTAGTTGTGGATGCTCCAACATAGGAAGTTTTTAAGAGATCGGACAACCAGTTGTCTGGAATGGTGTAGGGTCTCCTGCTTAAGCAGGTGGGAATGGACTAGAACAGCAGTCACCAACCGGTGGGCCGCGGCCCACTGGTGGGCCATGAGAAAATGTTGGTGGGCCACAGAGAAATCTCACCCCCAGAGCACCCCCCGCAAAGCAATGAAACACAAGGCTGCACTGCCCACATGGCCCGCGGGAACCCTCCCCACCCACTCACT